CCCCACCGCACTCTGCATGGAAGGGAGGGAGAGAAGGAGGGAGGGGCGGGGGAAAAATCCCGGACCTTTTAACCTTGTTACCAATTCCTCCCAGACGGCTATTTAAAGATGCAAAAGCCAGACATGTCTGGGGAAATACGGACGGGTGGTAACCCTACACAGTCTTCCAGCCCTGCATCACCCTTCTCGTTCCAGCCAGGAACAGACCTGCTCAGACCCTGTAGCTCCTTTTATCTGAGCCTGTTATTTTCTGACTGGCTGCTTTCCTGCAGCCTTTCTAGACAGTGCTGGAGGACCCACCTTCACTGCTCCTTTGCTAGGGCAGGGTGTGGTAAGACTACAAGGCCTCCAGGAGGGGCCTCAAAAAGCCTGGTACTCCCCATCACAGAATGCAACATGGACTTGTATATCAATTTCAGGAACAGTAAAACAGTTGCTTAACACCCAAACAGACCAAAGAAAATAAAATGTTTATTTCTAGATTAAGAACATCTATAAATATCATAATATTTATTAAAGTTCATGAAATCTGATTTAATTTAATACACAAGGCAAAAATCAATCATATTGAAAACCACAGCATTGCAATTATTGTTAAAAAAACAGGAATAAATATGTAATGAACCCAGGAAAATCCATTGGAGAACAAGTCCTCATTTACAATGGTGGTCTAGCTGAGAAATAAAAGTGCCCAATCCTGCAAATACTTCTGCGCACAACTAAATTTTCTCAAGTTTTTGAAAGACTTGAGCCCAATTAACTAATTGTTAATTAAGAGACAGAGACTCAAAGGAGATACAATCATAAGAACATAAGAATGGCCATACTGGGTCAGAGTAATGGTCCATCTACCCCAGTATCCTGTCCTCTGACAGTGGCCAGTGCCAGATGCTTCAGAGGGAATGAACAGAACAGGGCAATTTATTGAGTGATCCATCCCGTCTACCAGCCCCAGCTTCTGGCAGTCGGAGGTTTAAGGATAGCCAGAGCCTAGGGTTGCATTCCTGACCATCTTGGCTAATAGCCATTGATGGACCTATCCTCCAGGAACTTATCTAATTCTTTTCTGAATCCAGTTATACTTTTGGCCTTCACAACATCCCCTGGCAACGAGTTCCACAGGTTGACTGTGTTGTGTGAAGAAGTACTTATCTTTGTTTTAAACCTGGTGCCTATTCGTTTCAAAGGGAGATCTCTGGTTCTTTTGCTATGTGAAGGGGTAAATAACACTTCCCCATTCACTTTCTCCACACCAGACATAATTTAACAGTCCTCCTTCATATCCCACCCCTTGGTCATCTCTTTTCCAAAATGAACAGTCCCAGTATTTTTAATCTCTCCTACTAGGGAAGTTGTTCCATACCCTTAAATCATTTTTGTTGCCCTTCTCTGTACCTTTGCCAATTCTAATATATCTTTTTTGAGATGGGGTGACCAGAACTGCACGCAGTATTTAAGATATGGCTGTACCGTGTATTTATATAGTGGCATTATGCTATTTTCTGTCTTTGATTATCTATCTCTTTCCTAATGGTTCCTAACATTCTGTTATCTTTTTTGATGGCTGCTGCACACTGAGCAGATGTTTTCAGAGAATTATCCATGATGATGCCAAGATCTTCCTTGAGTGGTAATAGCTAATTTAGAATCCATCATTTTGTATGTATATTTGGGATTAATTTTTCCAATGTGCATTATTTTATAATAAAAATATTTGGAATACCAGACAAATGTTTGTTAAGCAACTTTTAAAAACTTTAATATACAATGCATATTAATAGTTATATTTGGCTCTTATACAGCCCTTGCCATCTGTAGATCTCAAAGTGCATTAGAAAGGCAGGTATGTAACCATATCTCAGTTTTACAGATTGGAAAAATTCAAGGACACAGAAAGGACCAGTTATGATCATCTAGTCCGCTGGCCTGTTATGCAGGCAATCAAACTCACCCAGTAGTTTGTGCATCAAGCCTATAGCTTGTCTGAGCTATAGCGTATCTTTTAGAAAGAAAACCAGGCTTGGTTGAAAGACTTTAAGTGATGGAGGATCCATCACACCCCTAAATAAGTTGTTCCAATAGTGAGCTACCCTCACTCTTAAAAAATTGCGCCTTATTTTTAGTCTAAATTTGTCTACATTCAGCTTCCAGCTACTAGATCTTGTCATGCCGCCTTCTGCTAGATTAAAGAGGTGTCTACGGTCACAAATCTCTTCCCCACATATGTACTTGTAGACCATGATCAAGTCACTTAACTAGAGCTGATTGGAACGTTTTGGACTAAATGAAATTTAAATGATATTTTGAGAGATTCATTCTTTCTTTCTATCGATCACACCTCTATAGCCTGGTGGTGAGGCCACTGGGATGAGGAGATCCAGGTTCAAGTCTCTTCCCTCCCTGACTCAGAGAGATCTGGGATGAAAATCTCTTCTGGCAATCAGAGCAGAGACTTGAATGGTGCTCTCCCCCATCCGAGGGCCTACCCACCAGGCTATAGAATGTGTCACACACCTTCTAGGATCAAAAAGCTCAGGTTTTACTTGAAAATGAACATTTTGACACAATTCTGTTTTCACAAAATCATTCCGAAAAGTTTTGGTTTTGTTCCAAAAAGTTGCCACAAAACAGAATGATCACCCTCCAGCCATCTCTAGTCATAACCTCCACTAGGATAAACTAACCTGGGTCTAGATCAGTCAGCAGGTGCGTAACAGAGCTAGGAACACTACCACCACTGATTTTAAACAAGTAATTTCAATTAATTTTCTGCATCATTTAAGATCATTTTTAGTATCAGGAAAACATTTGAATAGGGGATTCTTTTGCTGATGTGGCTGCTTGGTTTCTTCTCTGCCATCACTTTGAGCTCAGCCCCTCCAGTTCCCCTTGAAACCTTTTAGACTGATTTCACTTCCTGTTTGAATTTCTCCTCCTCAAGCTTCAAGGCTTTGCAAGAGCTCTTACATTGTTCATCCGCTCTAGATCCTTAGGTTCTTCTCTTCCCTCTCGCCTCATGGATCCTTTTATCTACTTCTCCCATTGTTAACTTTACACCTTTTTTCAAACAGGCCCCTATGCCTGAAGCAGCCTTCTGCCTCCCACACGCCAAAAACAACTTACTCTCCTCCTTCAAATCTTCCACTGCCCAAAAGTCATTGCTTTGGTGAGAACCTTCCTGTGCGTCCCCCACTCAAGGTCTCTTTGCGTTTCTAGGCCTGAATTGCCCAGCATATTATATTTGTTGGAGTTAGATTATAATTTGAGCCAAGGACCTTTTGTCCTTACACATTGTGTAAAGCAGTGCACATATAAAGCATTCTATGAAATAAAAGATGATGATGATGGATGTTCATAATCTGATGTGTATGGGATAACTCTTTGCACCTCACTAGTGCATAAACTGTGATTTTATTCTGAAAAGTGACTAGGTAGAAATGACACCACCTTACTCAGTGGATCTGCTCTCTGTTAATGTTCAGAAACACAAGGGCTGGCTTTAGTGACAAAAATAAAAAGCTTTTCCTCCTGCTAGTCCTAGTAGCAGGGCATAGGGTCTGAGGTTGTATATCACTAAATTCATTGTTAGTAGTAGATGTTTTACATTGTTCCAAAGTATGTCAAGCACTTCACAGGATGTACAGCAAGGGACATGACCAAACAAGTGGCAGTAATAAAGCAGTAAAATAAAATTAATGGAGATATCCTATCTCCTAGAACTGGAAGGGACCTTGAAAGGTCATCAAGTTCAGCCCCCTGCCTTCACTAGCAGGACCAAATACTGATTTTGCCCCAGATCCCTAAGTGGCCCCCTCAAAAATTGAACTCACAACCCTGGGTTTAGCAGGCCAATGCTCAAACCACTGAGCTATCCTCCCCGCAGAGGGACAAAGCAATACAATCACATGTGATGTAGCATATGTGCGTGCACAACATGACCAATCAACAGGTATTATAACCATGTAGTACTCCTGGGGGAATTCTGCGCTACTGAGTGGACACACAATTAATAAGCCATGCATAATTTTATTTTTTTGTGCAGAAAAAAGCTTCTGCCTAAATGTTGCTGTAGTTCTGCCTTTTGCTCACCAGAGGGCGCTGTGATGCTAGAACACAGCAGCCGCTCCCAGCCAGCTAGGGAAGAGAAAAATCCTTCCTTCTTCACAGTGCCTGTCAGGCCAGGTCAGAATACAGGGGCTATGGGGAGACAGACAGCATGGAGTGCTGGGGGGGGGGGTCAGAAAGGGGCTCATAAGGGCTAGTGGGAAGGACAGACTGGGCTGAATGGGAGTGGAGGCACAGGACCACAGGGGGGGGAGAGAGGTACAGGGCCACATGGTGATGGGGGAGGGTGCTTGAGCTACATAGGGACAGAGGGTGTCTGAGTGGGGACACAGACATATGGGGACAGGGGGAGGGGGTACAGGCACACATAGGGACAGGGGAGTGAATGGGTGGGGGCACAGACACATGGGGATGAGATACAGAGCCACATAGGGATGGGGAGGGGTGCAGGGCCACCTGGGGATGGGGGGAGTGCGTGTCTGAGTGGGAGTGGAGGGACACACGTTGACGGGGGGGGGAAAGAGGTGCAAGGACACATCAGGGACAGGGGCAGATGTGCCTGACTCAATGGGAGAGGCTAGGGGTCAGCCAGGGTCTGCATGGGGGAAGCTCCCTAACAATCTCTTCTTGCCCTTTCCCCCCTCCCCCCCAAAAAAACACCCCATTCCATCCATTTCCCACCCAGACCCAACAACCCTCCAAGTTCACAGCCAGGCCCCTTCCCAGCAATTTACTTCCCTCTCCCTCAGCTCCTCCATTACCCATGACTCCCCCAAGCCTTTGCTCTGCTTCTGAGGGGTGTGGGAAATACGGTTCTGTATTGTAGTTTAAATGAATTATTACTCAGAATTCTGTATTAATATGCCTAATAAGGAATCTATTTTTCAAAAAAAATTTCCTGAATCTTTTTTGTTGGTCTGTATTGTTACAGACATACTTGCTGACTGGTATTTTGAAATAAATGACCAAAAATAATTGCAACTGGTGGGATTATATTGTGTTATTTTGACAAATAAAATATGCAGACTTTTAAAATAATTTTTAAATTTTTGGCACAGAACTTCCCCCGGAGTACCGTAGATATAATTGTTTGCTCATTTCTTGAGGGCACAACTGAAGAAGTGAGTCTCAACTAGGGACTGGAAAGAGGGTTGTTGCTTGGTGGACCAATGAGATCATCTGGATTAACGTTCTCAGAAGAATTAGGTAGAAAGTTGGGCAACTCATCTGGGATGCTGAGATAGCCTCTCCCCTGTGTTGTTTCTCTGCTCTGTACACCTGTAAAACACAAGAGAGGCTTTTGAAATCCATTGAAGTGTCTGAAAACTTTTTGAATCAACATGAAGGTTGACATATGAGCTACTCCATAGGGCAGAATGAGGAAGGGTAGATGGGTTCAGGGTTGACACTGAGAAAACGAGAACCTTTCCCTCTGTAAAGTATTTAAACACATTGCATCTATTTTTACTGGGGAGCTGAATGACTGGAATTATATTTTACGATGGGGACCCAGTGACCTCTTATGGGTTCATATATTTTCTATTCTAAACCCTGAAAAAATAAAAATTAAAACAGCCTCAAAAGATGTTTAAAAGGACACTGCCAAGTTGTTTAGACCCATAGTCAAGAGTTTTGCAGAGCCGAACATGAATAAAATTATTTTCAGTTAAAAAAACGGAATAAAAGTATTAGGTATTCCCCCTGCAGTGATGGGCACTCAACTCCAACAGGAACTTGCTGGTGCGCAAAAACCACAATGGACTAGAAGCAGAAAGTGAAATCAACAAAGCCACTCTCCCTGTCGAAGCTGAACGAAGCATAAAAAGAATACAATTGGTGGCAAGGTAATTAGATTTCAATATGACAACTGAGTATACAGGGCTGTTAGTACAGAGATTTTAAAATATTTTTTAAAATTATCTTATATTTACAGTATTCCTTGCAAGAATTACAGGATTAAACATAAATCAACAGGGCTGGGGGGAGGTAAGTGATGTTTCCACCTTACTCTCTTGAGTCCAGCCTACACAGAGATTTGAGATCAGGCAGTAATCTTACATACAGTGGCCCTGATCCGCCAATCTGATCCACGCTGGCAGATCTCACACTTGTGCAGTATTCTATGGACATCAGTCCATGTGAATCAGACTGCAGGATCGGGGCCAGTCTGTGGTCACCAATATTCGCAGGAGTATGAATCGAGGATGGAGTCATCTATCTACTGTAAATATACCAGGCATTCTAAGCTCAAAGCAGGGATGAAGGCCTCTCCAGCACTGCTTCTGCAACCATGAAAAAGGACGTGGCTGACATCAGCATGGATGTGGAGAGATAGGGAGGAAGCATTAATTCTGAATATCCTTGACTTTGGTTATATTCACTCAGAACTGTAATGTTAAATTAACAGGTGTCTTTTGCTTTTTTTAAAAATGCTCCTGCAGAGCATTAGCCCCTTGTAAATGCTTTCAAAGGACACACGTACAGATTAGAATGGCAACAGAATCATAGAATATCAGGGTTGGAAGGGACCTCAGGAGGTCATCTAGTCCAACCCCCTGCTCAAAGCAGGACCAATCCCCAACTAAATCATCCCAGCCAGGGCTTTGTCAAGCCTGACCTTAAAAACCTCTAAGGAAGGAGATTCCACCACCTCCCTAGATAACCCATTCCAGTGCTTCACCACCCTTCTAGTGAAAAAGTTTTTCCTAATATCCAACCTAAATCTCTTCACTGCAATCTGAGACCATTACTCCTTGTTCTGTCATCTGGTACCACCGAGAACAGTCTGGGTCCATCCTCTTTGGAACCCCCTTTCAGGTAGTTGAAAGCAGCTATCAAATCCCTCCTCATTCTTCTCTTCTGCAGACTAAACAATCCCAGTTCCCTCAGCCTCTCCTCATAAGTCATGTGCTCCAGCCCCCTAATCATTTTTGTTGCCTTCCACTGGACTCTTTCCAATTTTTCCACATCCTTCTTGTAGTGTGGGGCCCAAAACTGGACATAGTACTCCAGATGAGGCCTCACCAATGCAGAATAGAGGGGAATGATCACGTCCCTCGATCTACTGGCAATGCCCCTACTTATACAGCCCAAAATGCTATTTGCCTTCATGGCAGCAAGGGCACACTGTTGACTCATAGAATCAGTTTGATTGTATACCATTGTATGAGCCATCATATGTACCATGTATCAGAACAATAGGAAGGTTTATGTACTTTATACAGGTACTCACCAAAACTAATACAAATACACGTCTCTGTGTGTATCAGATTAAAACAAACCTTACCAGAGACCTGCAACCACCACACAATATGGGGCGGGGGATGTGGGGAGTTAGAGGGGGAAAATCAACAGACTTACCATACCTCCATAGGCAGGCACCAGCATTATTCAATGTTGAATGCGACAAACCAAGCCAGCAAGCATAGCACAGCAAGTGGTGGGAAGCTCATTTTCATAGGCCCACTAGACAAATAAACACACATAGGGCAGAATGGGTGGCTTTAAGAAGTCACGTTTGCAGCATTTCACAACTATCCTTAATCTTACTAAAGTCAGAAGATTCAAATTTGTTCAAATCCATTTTTAGGCACCTAAATGGGTGGCCTTTGATTTTCAGAGGCGCTGAGCACCCACAATTTCCAGTGAAGTTAACTGGAGCTGCACGTGATCAGCACTTCTGAAAACCAAAACAACTGATTTAGGTGCTTAAATTTTTACTTCTTATTATTTAAACACAGGGGTTAGAACATTTGAGGCTCAGGTTACATTTCTCCTGTGATCCATCAATGCAACACAGGCACATTCTGGATCATACTCCAGATACATACATCTTGCTGTTGTGATCACATTAAACTACACTAGCTCTGCACTTGTGGGAACTGTGGTAACACCAGAGCCCTTCAATGTGAGCAAAGACATGTAAGTCATTTACCTGTGTAACAGTTTCTCTTTGTATGCCCAACACAGGGTTACTGTATACAGCTTTATAAAAAGATGTTTGTTACAGTTATGCTACCTCTGATAGATAACAAGCCTGACAGAACATATTATATTGTTACATATATATGCCTCCATCCTCCCATCTTTTGTGCCCTTCCATAAAACGGAACTAGTGGTTTCAATCCAGTTGCCAGTGCGATACGGGCAAGGCTAAGGGCAGTCCATGCTATTAAATCATTACAGATATTGGTGTAAAATAATAGCGTAGGATAAAAACTACAGCAGACCAAACAGTCATTATAAAGAAAATAGAGACTGGACATTAGCGCAAAAGTATATTCTGAATTTCTTATTCCCCACTGACATTAGCTTTCCTGTTTTGTCACATCTGAAGAGAAGGGGGACAGCGCAAAAGGGAAGAGCAGGAAGGGTTATGCCACTGTGACTACTTCTGCACTAAATACTGTACGTACCTGATGCCTTGCAAGCACCCACTCCTTACAGCCAAGCTGCACACTGTGTGTATAGCTTTGCACGTGTTAGCCTACATAACACCTTTGCCACAGGAACGGCTGAGGAGACAGCAGAGAGAGAGAGAGAGGAGTGTGGTTGATGTGTGAGGTCTGCCCAGAGCTCTCCTCTTTCCTTAGGATGAGAGATTGTTTTCTTTCATCTGCTAATCTAGAAGAAAAAAAAAAAAGAAGAGAGAGATACAAAATACATAGAGCAGCCAGTTACGAATCTAGGGGGACATTCTCCCTCAGATTTGAGGGCCTGAATCTCATTTACAATAGAGCACTTTTACATCACTCTGGGAGTCAAAGCACCTTAAAACAGATGTATATATATATAAACTATGCCAGCACTAAGGCATATTACCTACATACCTTGCCCGAGCTGCATAAAGGGGCCGTAGCATAAATGAGAATCAAGCCCTGCGAGTTTTCATCTACTAACAATTCAGAACTGTACTGAACCCTCTAGTTCAAAAAGCTGCATGATGGTGAATAATGGAGATGGATTTCACAGACTAACACATGGATGTTTATGCCTGATTTGGCCTTGAATGGCACATTAAACCGAGAGAGACATGCTAAGATTATGCATCCCTAGCCCTTAAATGTTTAGGGCCTAATCTTTCAAGGTGCTGAGCACTCTTACCTCTTGTTGGAGTAGTCCTGTACTTGGGTGAAGACTTCAGGCAGGATTGTAGTCACTCAGTACCTTGTGGGAGTGGGGCCTTAATGAGATAATGTGAATGAAGCCACCACCAGTGTGGCTGTATGTGGAGGGGATCGTGTGGCAGGTGACTTGTTAAGCACACTGATTAAAAATGGTGTTGAAGTTGAGAGCGGGCTAGGCAGGCACAGGAAAGCACTATGCATGAGCAGAAAGGCCTGGTGCAAGTTTCACAGCATGGGTCTGCCCATTACTTCAGTCCTGACACGCAATACTCCCTCCTTTCCCTCTTTAGAGGAGGCGGCCTGTTTGTGCAGCAGAGAATTTCACATTCTAAGATGAGACCAGCCAGTTCAGTTTGACTTGGGACACAACCATATCTCTAGAGGTGAAAGAGCTGGCGCACGAAGCTCTACGTGTTCCAAAAGCAAGTAGTGATTCTGGGTGCTCAACTTGAGACACCTTAATGGAGCCTGATTTTGAGAGAGCAAGTCCTCGGCATTCTCTGAAAATCAGGGCCCTTTAAGAGGTCTCCAAGTTTGACACCCCAAAATCACAAGTCGAGAATTTAGGCCTAACTTGCTGCTGCAGTTTATCACGTGCAGCTCGTCATGGAACAGCAGCAAAGCTGGTTACGTGCTTTTCCTGTAACTCTCTGAAATGAAGACGCTCCTGCATTTATTGAAAATTTATCAGATGGCGTTTCAGCCCAACTTTTGATCTGACAAGAGTGACTGCCAAAGTGAGTTCATTTTTCTTTTAGCTGTAGGTTGAACCTTCTCTAGAAGGAATCGTTCTCTGTTTGTTTTTAAGACTTTCTGCAGAAAGGGAAAAAAATTATGGCATTTATGCTCATTTTTGGACATCACTGTACATATCTATATATCTCTATTTATAGAAATTTTTATAAGCCTATAACCATAGTATCTGCACTTCTCACAAAAATTAATGGATTTATCCTCACGACACCATGAAACTATTATCAGCCCATTTTTACAAATGGGGAAACTAAGGCACAGAAAAATTAAGAGAGTTGCCCAAGGTTGTACGGAAAATCTGTGGAACAGTTGGGAAGAGAACAGAGATCTCTTGAATCACAGCCTGATGCTTTCACCTCAGTACTCTGATGGATAAACACAATTTTTAAACCAACAGTCACTAACTTTTAGAGGGATCCAAATACAGATGGTGGGCTCCATTTCATGATTCAGAGGTTCAGGACGTTTAGAATTATATGCTCCCCATTCTAAAGAGGTATTATTAAAAGCAATAGAGCATAAAATAAATAAGATATAGAGAAAACCCTAAACTAATTGACAATGATCATTTAGCTACTTCACTGAAATTTGGTCCCATTTTTTTAAAATACCGCTAAGCATTTTTACCACAGTAACATGAGTAATAACATAAATGTTACTTACAAGAATTTTTGGAATGCTTAACTGTCAAATTAATGTCTTATTCTGATATTTGAAGCATTCTGAAAATTTGTTCACCTGATATATTTTTAGATCTATGGTAATATCCCTATGCAATTAGACTAACCCAGAAATAAAATAAATAAATTGTACTTCTTATATAATAAATTTGAACTACACAGTTATAGGAGCTAGTTGAAGGGCATTATATTCAGACCATATACTACATTTAAAATAGAATACCCCTTAATCTTCACTTTATAGAGATTCTGCCAGGGGAGATTTTCAGGAGAGATTTTAAAGGCCTAGATCCTGACTCAGCAAGGTAGGTTAAGTGCACAACTAAATTTAAGATGTGACTAGTCACAATGTACCTTGCTGAGTTGGGGGCATACAAGGTATATTCAGAAGTTCACATTTATCTTTCAATTATACACTTTGCAGCTTTCAGATGACATCATTCTGCTACATATTCTATTTCACAGTCAACCAGACTTTTCTCCTGCTCTTGAAAGTGCAGGAGAGAAGTCCTATAGCCTTTTTCAAACATATCTGTATTGGATATCACAATGGATATTTTAATGTACCACATACCAGGGAGAAAAGACAGGTGGGCACAGGAAATACTAAAATCCACCCTAAATATACACACTTGTTGCACTCACACAGCACATTTTAACTGAGGATCACCACACTCTTTACAAACAGTATAGCTTACAACCCCTCTCTTAGAGGTAATTATTATTATACCTGATTTATGGATGGAGAAACTGAAGCGCAAGGTGAAGTGACTTAGGCAAGGTCATGTGGCAAGCCAATGGCAGAGCTGGGAATGGAATCCAGGAGTCGTGATTCCCAGTCCCTTGTTCTAACTGTTAGATTATCCTGTCTCATACTGAACCTACATTCAAGCAGTCCTAATGCAACAATGAAGTTCAGAGTTAAGATTGAAAATCTGCCCATAGCTCAATCTTGCTGTCTGTCTAAAGACCCTTGCTATATACAAGTTTAGACAAGAATGTGTTACAGATTAAGTCCCCGATTCTGCAATCGGATCGGTGCCTTAGACTTGAATAGGTCTCCATGCAGATGTCATTGTCCATCCGTGCAGATCTGATTGTAGAATTGGGGCCTTCGTCTGTGCCTCACCTCCAAATTCCCATGCTTTTGTGGTTTCAATTAGATTAATAACCTAAAATTGGCATATTTTCCTTTAGTTATCAACAGTATCTAGATGCTTTTGCAACTGGGGAAGAAAAAAAGCATATGATAGTTGACAGTTAAAAACAGTATATATGGTAAACACGTACTTGCAATACACGGCAAGTTTTTTTTTAAAACAGGCTTGGTAATTGTTTTAAAATGGACTGTCATATAAATACCTATTGACACAAATTTGCAAATGCAGGCAAATAAATATCTGGAAAAAATATGAACCACATCCATTATTTATATAATATGAATGGCTAGAAAATTATAACATCTCTATATAAAATAGAGATCCATCTCACATATGCTGGATGAGAACGTTTGACAAGTAGCATGTGCAGCATTTACACGACAGACCGATCGCTCTTTGGGTGAGCAGAACAGCATTTTAGAGTCAATTTAAGACTCCTAAAGGTGAAAGAATGACAGCAAAGGAAACTCCTATCCTCCTTTAGCCAAAGACCCCCAGACATCACAGGCCAGTGGTTTTCAACCTTTTGTTGTTGTTGTGTGGACCCCTAAAAAAATGTCAAATGAAGGTGTGGACCCCTTTGGAAATCTTAGACATAGGAGGTCCGCAGACTACAGATTGAAAACCACTGCCACAGGCAGACGCTGTGCATGCCCCTCCCGCACTGCTTTGCTAATGTGACCTAACCCTGCCATAGAAGAACCATCTGTAGGGGTGCAAAGGTAGCTCCAGTCTCAATGGCCCATTGAACCAGGACCTGAGACTACCCATGAGAGTAGCACAAAGGCAGCCTGAGAATACCAGCTCATTTCATGTACCACAAGACACCAAATATTACATTAGTTTTCTATCAAAAGGATCTAGTTTCATATTGTGAATGAAGAGCTAATAAAATGTTATTTCTAACCCCCCACCAAGTTGTTCTTGAAAAATTCAAGTATTGTTGGTTTGTTTTTCAAACCAAGCTCTATTCCACCACTGGTAGTTGCAGATTTTAAGTACATTATCTTGAATCAGAGTGGCAAACACTACTTAGCCTGGAATTACCAACTGAAATTGATTTTGCATATGGCACTTTATCAGTATTTCCTAAACTAAAAATTTGGATCATAGCTATGAGAAAAATATACTGGACAACATATGTCTAAGAATCAGTTACATGTTTAATAGACTCTCTCTTTTCACTCAGAACTGGGTGAAAAAAACAACAGTTGTAAATAATTGGAACCAAAAAACCTAAATATTTTTCACATTCCCCTTTAAAAGCCTTTAGTGAAACTGGAACAGGGAGGATTGGGAACACTGTGTACTTGTCATTTATTTTACAAGATTCTGTATACTAATGGAATAACCACCAAATTCTCCATATTAATGCCAGTAATATGATTTGGAAGAGACAATTCATTGTGATAAAACTCCAAAAGGAATGCTATAGCTACTGACCCATATTTGAAGTACATTCAGAACAGATTATAGGCTTTCAATTCATGTTGTTGTATGACTGTTGTGTGTATGAGATTATTAAAAGCTGATTCATACCTACTACCCAATAGTTTCAGAAGTCAGGCTTTTTCTCGCTTCCACAGAGTGGGACAAAAATTATTGAGTCATAACATAGTACACCCCATGGTTAAGAGAGACTACAAAAAATACCGACTTCATAAAGTTAATCAAAACCTCTATTAGAATCCCAGGATCGATTCATCCCAAAGTATCTCTTCTTCTGTTTTTCCATCAGGCTGTGGTTTCCTTTTATCCTTTTTATGCTTTCTACTCTCCTTCTCAGTGGGTATTTCTTTAATTCTTTTGTCTTTACTGTGCTTTGATTTTTTCTCGTGAGTTGAATCTGTATCAATCTTTCTTCGCTTTTGCATTTCACTGTCCTTTCCAGAATCTGTCTCTTCACTGTTTTCCTTTTTCTTCTGCATTGTGGCTTCTTTGTTGTGTTTCTCTTCTCCTTCCCCAGTGTGTCTTTCCCCCTCTTCATGTTTCCTTCGAAGCTTTCGGCCTTTCCTATAGGAGCGGGTGCTATTATCAGAAGAGATGTGTTTGTAGCAGTCACTGGATTCTGCAGATGATAGGCCATAGCTGTCATCTTTGAAAGGGGTCACCTGAGGTGTTTGCATTTCTGAATAATATTCCTTGCTGTCATGACCTTTAGCCATGTTTTCTAGTCTTAGCCTATTCTCATGAGCTGGTGACCAGCACAGCGATCTGTTTTCAACAGCATGTGATGACATATAGGTTTCTGAGAAGAGGATGGAATGCTGTCCTTGTTCCAATGTAACATTGGAAGATACAATATCATCACAATCATTTACTGCTTCTAACTCGTAGTTTTCAAACTCTTCCTCCTCTGCTTTTCTGAAATATGTTTTTGGTTCTAGTCCTCTAGCTTTTTGCACTTTAATGTAATCTTCTAATTCATCTTGAAAGGAGTCGTATGTTTTCTTGGAATTCTTTATGAGGTTGACAACCATGGTTTCTCTGCAAGAATCAGATATAAAATCGTAGTTACTAAAACTAATCTACTTTTTGGCCTGTTTCCTTTTTGAACTATTGTAGAATGTCAGGTAAAGACTTTTATGTCTTCCTGGTTCAGATGTGGAATGTTACATAGTACACCTCTGACCCGATATAACGCGACCCGATATAACACAAATTCGGATAGAACGCGGTAAAGCAGCGCTCCAGGGGGGCGGGGCTGCGCACTACGGTGGATCAAAGCAAGTTCAATATAACGCGGTTTCACCTAGAACGCGGTAAGATTTTTTGGCTCCCGAGGACAGCATTATATCGGGGTAGAGGTGTACATTTATACCAAAGCAATTAACTAAGAGGAGAAGATGCCTTGAAAAGCACTACATAAGTGCTAAGTATTATTATTAAGACCAGCAGTTTTGTCTTGTTTTTTTTTAAAAGATGTGACTGGGGGAATGACTAGATAGGAAAGGAAAGGGGAAAAAGGTGGGGGGGTGGAGGGGAAGAAAAAAAAAAGATCCTGTGTCTTCCCACCTTTCTGTGGTACAGAATCCAAATAGTAAAGGATTACACCATATGTGAATGTAGAGAGAGATTAAACCCACAAACTGTTAAACTAGTTGGACGCAGAGATTTAAAGACGCTCTCTATCTAGATTGTAAATAACTAGTTTTCCTATATTATGTATATCGGTTGTTTAATATTAACAGGGTCTGTTCCCAACAGGTGTTGGGCGTGCAGCAACTTTCATGAAGGTCAATGGGAGTTGTGGGCTCTCCACATTTTGGGGGATCAGGTCCTAAATTTCCATGGCAATGGTAACCCTACATTACAGACCATTCCCTCCAAGGATGATTGAACACAGAAGGCTCCATACTGAAGTATGTGGTGCTGCCTCCATGTGGCAAAATTAGTAAGGACAAACTGCGCAGGCCTTTTCCGCTGGCAAGGAACATCTAAAAGTATGTGTGTGTGTGTGTGAGAGTGAGTGAGTGAATGAGTGTGTGAGAGCGAGCGTGCTCACTCCGTGAGCTGACCTGGGGAGCGGAGAAGGGAGGGAGATGATGTTATCACCCAATGGTAGATAAAAAATGTATCTGAGTATGATTTTTAAATTGTTGGCATCTATTTAAGTCAGTAGAATAAATGTGCAATGTCAAAGCCAATTAACAAAGCAGCCACCAGAGAATACTGCACAAGATGTTCACCCCCTCCACCCCTTCTACTCTTTAACAGGAACTTTAAAACAGTGCAGTGATGCAGCCACAGATATACAGTTGGAACATAAAAACAGCCATACTGGGTCAGACTAAAGGTCCATCTAGCCCAGTATCTTGTCTTCCAACAGTGGCCAATGCAAGGTGCCCCAGTGACAAAAGACTTACTTAATCTGATGTTTATTTCCTTGCATGTGGGACTGGTACATTTCTATAGACGTAAGAGTGATGTTACATATAGGACATATGTAGTTACCAACTCCAACTGCTGAAAGAACAGAGAGCTGCAGGTTAAAGAGATTGCAAACAAACAGCAAAACGCAAAGCACCTTTTGTCTACTCCCTTATGCAACTGCTATTTTATAGAGACAGCATCCTCCTAAAATCTTCTACAGGCAGATGTAAAGTTTCTGTAGTGAACAGATTTTGTTTTGTTATAGTTAAATGAGAACTTGGGTCTGTGATAGTAAACCTTTAAGCATACAGTATATTATGGGCATGATCTAAATAACGAGATTATTATTTATGGACATTGATGATTATCTCTCTGTTTATGATATTTCTAGAGTGTCTATTACCTTGGTACCTAAGTGCTGACAAGAAGGATAGCTGTGCTGGAAATTGAAGTATTATTGTAAATACATGATGTGGATAAAGTATAAGCATTTACAATATAAACTGGACCATCCAGTCTAAATACAGTAGTATTAGCTCAGACAAAGGCATCTCCCGAGTAGAGAATGCTGGATGATGCCTAGAGAAATTTCAACATGGTACGTAATGGATGTAACATATGTAGCCTCAAGTGAATACATGGTAAGGTCTGAGGAAGAAAGGCTTGTGCTTTACTAAAGCTACGTCATTCCCGCCCCTTAGAAGCTGAAGCATCAATATTTCCAAACACTGCAAAATCAGTAAATAAATGCCCCACCTCGAAAGCCAACAACCTTATCTATCAGGCAAATTCAGCAAACACACCCAACCCCAACAGGCTATTGTTTGGCATCAAAGTGTATTCCTCGAGTTTATTTATGATCAACAGCCTGATTCATCTAATGAGATCTGAAATATATAAATGGCAACATTTGAATAAGGAGTCGGATCCAGTTCTTGAGTTCTAGTATAGGAAGGGCTGGCAGTTCACTCACATAGGGCCAGATCCGGTTCCCATTAAAGTCAATGAGAGTTTTGCTGCCAAGTTCAATGAGAACTGGATTTGGACCTCAGTGCCATCAGGAAATATTTCCAAAGCAAGGTGTTCAGAGACCATAAAATCTAGCAGTGCACCGCGCAAAGAGAAAGGAGAAAACAAACTAAGTCTAAAGCAGAGGAATGAGCCCTCATTTTCTTGCACAAATCAAACACCATCGAACATCCAGCTACAATCAGTGAAGACCCTGGAATAATTCCCCGTAGCTTACTTACCATTTGCACTGGATTCCGCAGGAACAGCTTCCTCTCCCATCTCCGCCATCATCTTCTTCCGGGCTTCGTTCCTTTTGTGCTTCTTGCCAACATAATGTTGATGGGCCATCAATGGATTATTGAAGGGAGCTGAGCAGAGCTTGCAATACTTGTCTGGATCATTTAAATCCAAAGCAATGCTAGAGGATGATGTGGACTCTTCAACATTAGGATCCTGGGAGGGCTTCTCAGCGGAGGGCTGCTGGAGTGCCAGAGATGTAGAAGGACCAGCGGGGGAACCTGTTAATAGTACAACAAAGGAAAGTGTGGAACAGTTCTTGGAACCATATAAATATAAATATTGAACTACTGGAGTCGAAAAGGGAGAGCAGAATAGCAGCCCTGTGGCCTACAGACTACAGTGTTCATGAGAGAACACAATCCTCAAGCTCTCTCCTCTCACAATGGGCTCACCGGACACGTGAGCTTCTCTCACCACCAGGTCACCTTCTTCCAGCTCCTGCAGGTATCCTGAGCGGGTGGCATGAGAACACAAAAGATACTTTAGGTTTCAGCCCTAGGACTTGCACAAGGCGCTAGTCACCGTTGTGTGTTCTTGAACTGATTTTCTTAATAATTAGTAATACTAGTTTAGCAATTAGTATTATGCCTGCTAAGGGCTGCAATCAACCCCCGCAAAACCCCAAGAGTAGAAGTGTTGTTATTTGCATTTCACAGAGGGAGAAATGGAGACATTTGCCTACAGTCACAGTCAGTGGAAGAGCAGGGATTATAACTCCAGGGTCCCTGACTCCCAGTCCTTTGCTATGGACTTGCTGACTCTGATTAAGCAACAATGTCTTCATTCTTTCACTTGATGGCTGCATCTTGAGTTGTCATACCTACTGCCACACTTCAATACACTATATAAGCACAGAGAAGCAGTAGTGCTGGGAAGATGATCAATGCCTCATTTTATCTGTTTCAGAGAAGTGACAATAAAATACATGCACCATGTAGAACGCAGAGCCCATTTAGTTCTCACCTGTTTGTGGTTGAGTGCTCTGTGCAGGCACTTGAGGTTGGTCTCCTGATAATTGCTTCAGCTTTTTGGCATGTATTTTCCCCAGGTAATGAGACTGAGCAACAACTGGAGAAGTAAAAATCATGTTGCAAAGATTGCAATATTTGTTTTTGTCCACTACTCCACTCCCATCCACCTGAAACCAAAGACAAGCAGTTGAACCCTTGTAACTGAGAAGAGCTCATTTAACATCTTAGCCAGAGATCTGAAGAGGAAAGTTACCTGAAAGGTCACACAATCTGGTCTCTTCTGTTTGCCAGGTTCTTGTCCGTCATCTTGCTCACTGCGCATTTGAAAATAAAGGCGAACTTTCTGAGCATGCTTTTTGCCCTGGAAAGAGAAAAATTCCTACTCCATTAACAAGAACCCATGTGCTGACTTACCCAGAAATTAAGATTTGCTTTGTCAAAATCTGAGAATCCCCCTGTTCATTCCCTTCCTTCATGGTCCACGGAGAGAACAGGAAGCTCTGCACTGCCCTCAGCATGCTCATAACACTTGCAGCTCTGCATTAAGACAATGACTATAATCTAAATCTCATGCTTCAAGGCTTCAGCTGGTTACCTGAAGGGGTCAGGAAGGAATCCTCCTCCCCCTCTTCCCTGTATCACAATTGGCCAGATGTATTCTGGATTGGGGCCTTTTTTTTTTTTTTTTGCCTTCCTCTGAAGCATGAAGGATGGGCCATAGCTGGAGACAAGACACTGATGCTCTGAGGTGGTTCAGATAATCCTCTCAGATGTTTGGTGGGTAGGTCTTGTTCACATGCTCAGGGTCAGATAATCCTAAAAAAATGTACTGGTCCATTACTAGATGGAAATGGTAGAATTATCAATAATGATACAGAAAAGGCTGAAATGTCCAACAAATCTTATTTCCATATTTGGGAAAAAGCAGATGATATAGTCATATCATACGATAACGCTCGTTCCATTCCACTAGTATCTCAGGAGGATGTTAAACAGCAACTTCTAAAGTCAGACATTTTAAATGAGCAGGCTCAGATACCTTGCATCTAAAAGTTTTAAAAGAGCTGGCTGAAGAGCTCACTGAACTGTTAGTGTTGATTTTCAATAATTCTTGGAACACTGAGGAAGAAGTTCCAGAAGAAAGCAAATATTGTGTCAATATTTATAAAGGGGAAATCGGATAACCTGGGTAATTACAGGCCGGTCAGTCTGACACTGATCTCTGGCAAGATAATGGAGCTGCTCATATGGGACTTGAATAATAAAGAATTACCAGAGGGTAATAATTAACGCCAACCAACATAGTGTTATGGAAAGTATATATTGCCAAACTAACTTGGTAACTTTTTTAGATGAGATTACAAATTTGGCTGATAAAGATAATAATGTTGATAGACTTTTACAACATTTTCATTAAAAAACTAGAATATAAAATTAACATGGCACTTATTAAACAGGTTAAAAGCTGGTTAACTGATAGGTCTCAACATGTAATTGTAAGTGGGGAATCATCATAGAGTGGGTGTATTCTAGTGGGGACCTGCAGGGATTGGTTCTCTGATTCATGCTATTTAATATTTTTATCAATGATCTGAAAGAGAACATAAAATCACTGCTGATTAAAATTTGCAGACGACACAGATTGGGGGAGTGGTGAATAAAGAAGAGGACAGGTCACTGACAGAGCAATCTAGATTGCTTGGTAAACTGGATGCAAGAAAACAATATGCATTTTAATCTGACAAATGTAAATGTATACATCTAGGAACAAAGAATGTAGGCCATATTAATAAGACGGAGGACTATCCTGGGAGGCAGTGACTCTGAAAAAGACTTGGGGATCATGGTGGATAATCAGATGAATGTGAGCTCCCAGTGTGATGCTGTGGCCAAAAAGGCTGACATGATCCTTGGATGCATAAACAGTGGACCCTAAAGTAGGAGCAGAGACATTGTTTTACCTCTGTATTTGGCACTGGTGCAATCACAGCTGAAATATTGTGTCTGCTGCTGGCGTTCACAATTCAAGAAGGATATTGATAAATTGTAGAGGGTTCAGAGAAGAGCCATTAGAATGATTAAAGGATTAGATAACATGCCTTACAGTGATAGACTCAAGGAGCTCATGATATTTAGCTTAACAGAAAGAAGTTTAAGGGGTGACTTGATCACTGTCTAGAAGCATCTACATGGGGAACAAATATTTGACAATTTGCTCTTCAATCCCAGCAGAGACAAGTATAACATGATCCATTGGCTGGAAGTTGAAGCTAGACAAATTAAGACTGGAAATAAGGCATAGTTTTTTAACAATGAGGGTAATTAACCATTGGAACAATTTATCAAGGGTTGTGGTGGATTATCCACCACTGGCAATTTTAAAATCAAGATTGGATGTTTTTCTAAAAGATCTGCTCTAGGAATTATTTTAAGGAAGTTTTATGGATGGTGTTATACAGGAGGTCAGACTAGACGACCATAGTGGTCCCTCCTGGCCTTGGAATCTATGGATCTGTCTGGGGTTGGGAAGGACTTTTTCTCCGGGTAGACTGGTAGGGACCTTTGGGGGTTTTCACCTTCCTCTGCAGCATGTGGCCTGGCTCTTTTGCTAGGATCTTCTGGGCATATCTCACCTAATCAACTGCATTGGTAATGTCACCTCAGTCTCCCCTGTTCTCTGCTTAGGGCACATAACTGTTTAGTCTCCTGAGGACTGAAATGCTTTGGTCTAATCCAAGTTATCGGGCTCAATATAGGGGTAACTAGGTGAAATTTAATGACCTGTGATACACAGGAGGTCAGACTAGATGATCTAACGATCCTTTCTGGCCTTAAACTCTATGAAACTATAAAAAGTTGCTTTCATACTTACAGATTGTATTGATATAGCAAGAGAATCACAACTGGACAAAGACTGTTTATATAATAATATTTATTAATCATAGAATCATAGCACTCTCGAGAGGTCATCTAGTCCAGTCCCCTGCACTCATGGAAGGACTAAGTATTATCTAGACCACCCCTGACAGGTGTTTGTCTAACCTGCTCTTAAAAATCTCCAATGATGGAGATTCCACAACCTCACTAGGCAATTTATTCCAGTGCTTAACCACTCGGACAGGAAGTTTTTCCTAATGACCAACCTAAACCGCTCCTGCTGCAATTTAAGCCCATTGCTTCTTGTCCTATCCTCAGAGGTTAAGAAGAACAATTTTTCTCCCTCCTCCTTGTAATAACCTTTTATGTACTTGAAAACTGTTATGTCCCCTCTCTGTCTTCTCTTCTCCAGCCTAAACAGAACCAAATTTTTTCAATCTTCCCGCATAGGCCATGTTTTCTAGACCTTTAATCATTTTTGTTGCTCTTCTCTGGACTGTCTCCAATTTGTCCACATCTTTCCTGAAATGTGGCACCCAGAAATGGACACAATACTCCAGTTGAGGCCTAATCAAGGTCCCTTCCAGTTCTAGGAGATAGGATATCTCCATTAATTAATCAGCGCGAAGTAGAGTGGAAGAATTACTTCTCGTGTCTTGCTTACAACACTCCTGCTAATACATCCCAGAATTATGTTTGCTGTTTTGCAACATTGTTACACTGTTGACGCATATTTAGCTTACGGTCCACTATGATCCCCAGATCCCTTTCCGCAGTACTCTTTCCTAGGCAGTCATTTCCTATTTTGTATGTGTGCAACTGATTGTTCCTTCCTAAGTGGAGTACTTTGCATTTGTCCTTAGTGAATTTCATCCTATTTACTTCAGACCATTTCTCCAGTTTGTCCAGATCATTTTGAATTTTAATTCTATCCTCCTAATCACTTGCAACCCCTCCCAGCTTGGTATCGTCCGCAAACTTTATAAGTGTACTCTCCATGCCGTTATCTAAATCATTGATGAAGATATTGAACAGAACCGGACCCAGAACGGATCCCTGCGGGACCCCACTCATTATACCCTTCCAGCATGACTATGAACCACTGATAACTACTCTCTGGGAGCGGTTTTCCAACCAGTTTTGCACCCACTTATAGTAGCTCCATCTAGATTGCATTTCCCTAGTTTGTTTATGAGAAGGTCACGTGAGACAGTATCCAAAGCATTACTAAAGTGAAGATATACCACATCTACTGCTTCCCTCATCCACAAGGCTTGTTACCCTGTCAAAGAAAGCTTCAGAGGAGAAATCCTAGGTTGCCCATACAGTGCCACCAAAGAGAACGAGATGTTGCTACACACAAGTTTGATGCTGGCTAAAACACTGACTCAAAATACTATCAGTATGGAAAATAGCCTTTCCCCTGTAATGGTGAAGTCATTAGGATATTATCTGCATCCTCAGCTGAGGTCAGATTCAACAAAGCATATGTCTGCACTGCAAAAAACAAAACAATGGTGTGTTCTTAGCTCAGGTTAACTATCTGGGTTAAAATAGCAGTGAAGACACAGCAACTCTGTTTTTAACTCAGGTTAGCAGCTCGAGTTCAACCTCAAGCTCCCCTGAAGGCTTTAAGTTGAATTGCTAACCCAAGTGAAAAGCTGACTTGCCACGTCTTCATTGCTATTTTAACCCAAGTTAACACACTTTTTTTTTTTTCAGTGAAGACATATCCCAAAAGAGAGAAACTCATGCTGAAGCCTGATCCCTATGAGGTGCTGAGTGTCTTTGACTCCAACTGAAGTGAAGAAGAGTTAAAGAGAACTCGGCACCTTGCTGGAGCAAGTCCTCAGTTTCTACTGTAGATAACAATAATGAACTCCCAAGGCAGTAGACATTCTGAACTTCTTTAACTTGTGAAGATTGAGCGTGAAGAGATCGTATTGCTTTGGCTGAAACTGGAAAAAATGCTCGTGCCTGGGAACCTCTGTACAGACACAGGATCCCATGTAAAGGCAAAGTACACTTTATGACATAAAGTATTCACCCAAGATATTTATTAGTTCCATGACTAAAAGCCTTCCGCATGATTTATAGTTCACTGTGTCCTATGTGATCTACTTAGAACATGTGTACTAACTGTAACTGAGCCTAATGGTCACAGTATGCAACTCTGGTCACCATCCAACCAGGATGATGAGTCTTGGATAACTCACTACAAAAAGCCGTAAGTGACCCACATGCAATGCAATTGTCATTGAAAAAATATAGGTAGCATTATGTAGGAGGATACTGACATACGCTTATGGCTTACCTCGTAATGTGAAATTCTTTGTGACTCAAACTGCAGCACAGCCCCGCACACTTTACAGAAGGTGTCTGTGAAAAGATCTTTTCTCGTCGCCTCATCCAATGTACCACCTAAAATCAAAGGTTAAAGAGAGGAGCAGTCAGTAACTAGGACGAGAAAGATTTTCATTTCTTTACTTAAGAGACATATCAGCCGCTGTTGATGTTCACATATTTACATCCAATGCACGATGATGAAGCAAAGGTCCATTCACTAAACTGTGATATATTAAAGCAAGAAATCACATAGAGCTGGTTATGTTTTCAAAGGACTATTGCAAAGCTACCTAAACCATCTCACCCACAAAACTGCGGCTCTAGTGGACTTTCAAGGTATTAGTTCTAGAAAACCATAAGTGTACCTGGACCTTATAAAAATCAAGAGACAGCAAAGATTCTGCCCTGAGGGCTTAGAGTCCAGTTCAGATGGATTGGAAACAGTTTGAAAGGAAAGGGATGGGAACAGGCCCTCAAATAGGACTGACGTAGTACACAGGTCCTGTGCTAGCCCTCTGCACAGGGATGAATTTCACCGTCAGTGTGGGAAGGCTTGGCAAAAGAAGTGCGTTTTAAAGGAGATTTGAAGGACGATGAGGAAGTGGCTAGACACATGAAAACAGGAAGGCAGTGAGGTCTTGTCAAGAAAAGTTGCACTAGTTTACCTTAAATTGGTTTTTAAACTGATTTAGTTAAACTGAGGCAAAACCCTATGTGAATGCTTTTTTTCCAGTTTAAGAGTGGTTTGTTCTGGTTTAGTTTAACCCTCGTTGATTTAGGGTGGCCTACACTTGAAAGTAAATTTGAATCACGGTATGGTGTGAATTTAAAGCACATTAGCTGTTCCATGTGTGGACACTCTTGTCCCAGAGTATCTTATTCCCATTTATCTTAATCCAAGGTTGACTGTGCTTGAAATTCACACTTAATCCAAATTAATTTTCAAGTGTAGATAAATTCTTAGACTAAACCAAAAAAAGCCACTCTTAAAATGAAGTAAGAGTTTCCACATAGGGGTGTGCATTGGTTTAAATAAATGAGCTTAAATTCACACCTCAGTTTAAACCCAGGCAACTTTCTTGTGTCAACAAGCCCTTAAAGGGAAACATGGAAGTGAATATAACAAGTGCAGTTAGGAGGGATGTTTTTGGAAGAGGAGAGGAGGAAACGAGAGGAAACACTGCCAGGCACTGAATTGGCAGGGCCTTGAAGATCCCAGTGAGGAGACTGAAGCAAAGAACAAGAGCAAGTTTTAATGTCTCCACTAAGGGGTGCTCTCATACATGTAGGAGGAGGAAATGGCCCTTGGGGATTGGAGTCACCAGTGGAACTGCCATTCAGCAACAGGAAAGGAACATCCAGGAGAGCATGAGAAAGGAATGCGCCAGGTAATATGTCCAAGAGCACACGGGATGAAAAGGACCATGTGGATCGCCAGATGGCCTGTGTGACCACCAACGGTAGGGGAGGTGTCAGGTCTATGAGATGCTCTCTGTTAGATGGTCGTCCACACTATGAAAAAGTTTGGGATCCCCTGGCTATGAACATTTTATTGCTCTGAATGATATTCCCTCTGCTAACGCTAGGGAAAACAGAGTCATTAGCTTATCTGTGCATACAAAATACCCCCGTTAGAAAAGAGTGTTTTTAGACATATTCAAACACTTCTATTAATCAAGCATGCATTTAAGTACAAGCAGTACAACGTAGGAATGAACTGACACTTGCAGTCATCTCACTGAAAAGGGACACCATTTGTGGCTCCTACAGAATGGAAGCCTGAAGCATGGGACTATAAAACCACTTTGCATGCTGCTTTTATATCAGTTTAACCATCCAAAGAAAACCTTCTACCACAAGTCTTGATGCACTTGCACAACGTGGGGATTTGCAGACGCACAAATCTTTATTATTTTATCTACGCACATGTACAGCCCTGACTTGCACACAACAACTGGTTGATCTATAACTGCAACTCATGCGCAGGGACCTTTAAAAATATGGCCCTTACAGCCTCTTGGTTTGGGTTCCCACAATGACTATGTGACAAATGTTGCTTTTCAGCAAGATGTCCACCACCAGTCATTGGCTCAAAAATATTATTTCCAAATACAAACTTTATTTTCAAACACTTTTCATGAGTTACATTGGCCAGATGCTTAATTCTAATCATGCTTTTCATTTCTCTAGCACTATCCATCCAGTGACTGTAAAACACTCGGAGATTCATGATGTATTTAGTCTCATCCCTGTCAAATGGAGAGTGTAAAATGACTTGCTCCGAGCCACACAAGAAGTCCAACTCAGAGCTGGGAAGAGAGCCAAAATTTCATGATTCTCAACTCTGTGCTTTAGTACAAGCCTACCTAAATCTACGTAAGTTACGAACTTTCAACAAAACTGGATCAGTTTGCGTAAAGGAAGGCCCCTTATCCTGCATAATTAGCAAGAGCACTGAACAGTAAAGGGGATGTCTACACTGGGGAAATATATATGGAGAACTCTTTTTAAAAAAACTGAATTGGAATGTAAGGGAACACATGTGCTACTATTGCCATGGGCAATGGCCGCCTTATTTGCCATTGGAAAATGTTTGCAATATTTGTTTTGAACAGGGAAACTCAGACAATCTTCCCTGACCCACTCAAGAACATTAATTGTAAATATGGTCTCATGACCGTAGATCTACATTGCACAGATTTCTTAGCAGAGAAAAAAAGTATGCAAAAATGTGCTGTCAAATATTTCTATAGCACACCTATGAATCCTGACATGGAGTGCAAAAGCAAAAGAAATGTTGTAGTGTTAGCAGCAGGGAATATGGATCTGGTGGTTTCAGGGAACAGAGTTGAAACAATTAACAGGATGCCATAAAGTTATGTTTTACCATTGTACGCCTACAAAAAGCAAACGCTGATTTGATATTTGGTTTTATAAGGAATAGCAGGTCTCCTGAGCTTCCAGTCCAACAAGAAGTACTATTAATAGGCCGTCACTTCTTAAAGATGTGTGTTTAGATTCTCAAGACAGTGCAGGGGATTGGGACACAAATCTGCCACAAGTTTTAATGGAAAATTTAAATCCCCCAGGCTGCTTTGAAAATCTTAACAATAGTACTTAAACTGTGCATTGCCTGAACCGCACAGATGCTGGTTTACAGTGGGCATTTTTTATTTCTTGTCAATGCAATTCGAGGTGGGGTCTGTGTAAAAGTAGAATTTTGTTACCATCGCTTTTCTTATTCTAGATTCTTCTTTCTTCTATCATTTCAAAGCATACCAACTATAGAAAAAGGTCTGACTCTATGTGCTACCATTAGTATAGTAAAAGCACCTAAAAAATACTGTAGTCAAAATTTTCAAAAATGAATGCGGAAGTTCCCACATCCGAGAATAAATGGCCTGTTTTTTCCAAGAGCGCTGGGTGCTTAGCAGCTCCAATTGACTTCAGTGGGATAAAAAAGTCAAAAAATAAACGTAGGACTTCTGCTTGAGTTCTCAACTTCAATTCAGCGTTTACAAGCAATTCAACTATCTTGTAAAAGTCTGAACGAGTACATCAAACTCAATACATCGGTTAGATTTTTATGGTAGTGCCTACAGTCATGGTATCTAAGTGCTGCACAAAATTAATGGACATTATTACATGACACTAAAATGGCTTTTCTCTCGCCATCCTTCTGGGAGCATAAGATGACAGCCACCCTTATCACAAAGACTGCGGATCAGTAAGGTATGATTTTTTTAATGTGCAAAAGACTGTATCATAGTCATGTTTCAAGAAATTGGAGTTTGAACTATTGGTATTTTTCCATTTATAATTTCTATGGCTCTGCTTATTCCTAGATTGCCCTTTTCAGCTAAACACAGAAGTCAGTGTATGATTTTTACGCTTCTCAGTCCTAAAAACAATCACCCGGAAGCCTGGTTTACACCTAAAATTTAGGTTGACCTCGCTACGTCGTTCAAGGGTGTGAAAAATTCATACCCCTGTGTAATGTAGTTAAGTCGGCCTACGCCATGGTGTACAGCTAGGTTGACTGAAAAATTCTTCCGTCAACTTAACAACCTTCTCTCACAAGGGTGGATTATCTACAGTGATGGAAAGACTATAGTTGTGCTGCTGTAGTGTAGACATAACCTAAGGGTCACCCGAGAAAAGTAACTGCATATCAGGTACACTGTATGCGTTCCCCTTCTTGTGCTGGCAAACAGCTAACACCTGCTGGCTGGCTACTCTCTGGTGTCAACCAACTTTAATCTTACATTATAAGCACTCTGGGGACCAGCAGATGAACATTTCCCTCTGGTGATTGCCAAGAAATGTTACACTATAAATGGCATTCTTAAACACATGTACTTTTTTAAAATCAGAGAATGAATGGAGTGCAGCAAATCAAAGTCAGCATTGAGACAGGTCCATTTACAGTCCTTATCTCACAGATAAGAACACCAAAAATTAAAGGTGGAAGAGGGCTATAAATTGATCTAGTTCATTCCCCTTTCAGAGCGGGTTGGGGTCAATACAATTTACTGATGCTTCTTGCTAGTCACCCTACCACTCAGCAGTATGCACACAAGCAATGACGTGCTATTATGTGTTGTTAATTTCACTTTGCTATTAAAATGCTGCAAAGGGAAACTGACTAATCCTATTCAGTTTTTCTTTGTAGCAATGTCAAACTTCCAAAAGGACACAGACTAGGACTAGTCAGCTTCCCCTCTTGATTAAACTTGGATATTGTTTCAAGAAAAAAATGACTAGGACACAGGAATTGCCATACCAGATCAGACTACAGAGTGGTAGCCGTGTTAGTCTGTATCAGCAAAAACAACGAGGGGTCTTTGTGGCACCTTAGAGACTAACAAATGTATTTGGGCATAAGCTTTTGTGGGCTAGAACCCACTTCATCAGATGCATGAAGTGGAAAATACAGGAGCAGGTATAAATACATGAAAAGTTGGGAGTTGCCTTACCAAGTGTGAGGTCAGTCTAACGAGACAATTCAATTAACAGTAAAACTGGAATTAATTTGCAAACTAGACATCATCAAATTAGGCCTGAATAAAGACTGG